GAAAATTCATTCGAGTGAAAGTAGCGAGGATCGTTAAGCGATCGTTGACATTTATAGGATGGGCTTCGACAATGTCTTTTACAGACATCGACAAACTCTAATAACACAACCGACAGTTTAAGACTTAAGACAGAACTCGACGAAGATATGTTGTCGTCGATTAGAGAAACACAAATAAATTTCGAAAGGAATAGTACGTCCAATCTAATATGAGAAGATACAACTATAGTAGTTAGTCGATATAATAAGAGAACTTTGGTAAGAACGTTCCGATTTTTTTTAAACTTTGTACATTTTTAGGGAATCTATAATTTTTTATTATTATTATTATTATTATGATTCTTCGGGATAAAAACATTCTTTAAACGTTAATTTGGGCTTTCTTTTTTTCGAATCGAATTATCTTTATAGTACAAAAAAAATTCGAATGAAAAATGAAAGATTAAAGTTTTTTTTATATGTTGTTAAAATAGTTGTGCAAAGTTTAAATAAAAAAGCGTTCTCGTATTACCACTCTTGCATCAAGAAAATTTTACTGGGAAATCATTAAAGAATATACGAAACTTTTATTACAAAACTAGAATAGAAATAGATAAAATGACAATGGGATAATTTAATAATATTAGCAGATATCGCACTTCGTGCTCTTCGAACGTTGCTTTATCAATTATTTATCATTCTTTATTTAATCCAATAATAATAACTCGAAAAATCAATATTAACCCTTTGCGCTCCAACGGTGATTCTCAGGCACCACTCGGTGTAACGCGATAACTCCAGAGGTGATTCTCCGCCATCGCTTGGATTGATGCAGCAATTCGAACAATATTTATTTATGTTTGATTTTTTTAAAATATCGCTTCATGAATAGATTCCTAAGCTCTTTAAATGTAAACTTATAAAGTGTAGAATAATATACTATCAAATGATTAGATTTTTTTATCTAAAATTGGACTGTGATCGCGGATCGAACTACATATTCGACGTTAGTCCGAGTCGTGGCGATAGTAATATTATTTTCAAAGTTTCTGAGTTTTGTAAGGAATACTGTAATGAATTAGTGGAGATGAGTGATTTGATTTTTCGTTATTAAATAACGAAATTATTTCTATTCATTAAGAAGAAATTTACGATAGAGAGAAGGAAAATAGTGATAAAAATAGAGATATAGTATAAGAAGATGAAAAATAAGAATAATAGACAATAAATGAGAATATGTTATTGGGATTGTAAGCTTCTAACGATATTTTATTGTGATATTTGCCTTGACAAACTTTCTATTATTAAAATGTCACACAATATAGATTTTTAATATTCAACAATTTAATATTCAATAAATTATCTTCCTTTATATGTAATAGATTTATATAAATAGACAGGTAAAATATTAAAATATAAAAGTTTATACGTTAATTTGCGTGTGAAATCATTTTAAGTTAGCTAAGAGATTCACCGAACGGGTACGAAAAATCGTCTGGAGTTGTTGGTTCGTCCGAGCGAAGAAAGGCTCGGGGCGCAAAGGGTTAAAACATATAAAAAAGAAATCGGACGGTTAAGCGTTCTCGAAGAAATACACACGATCATTATTTAAGAAGAAAGAGTATAATTTAATTTATATTGCAATCTATCGAAAGTCTCTCGTCATTGAAAGTCAGGAACGCGTGACAGTGATTCGGCGGAAAAGACGGACGTGACAGAGGCAAGACCTCCATCAACGGAAATAGAAAGCGCGAATTCTCGTCGCGACGATTTACGTAAAAGCATGGACGAGGATATCTCTCTCGCCGACGTATTCTCCGTATTCCAGCGAGGTCTTTGACAACATGGCACAGGGGCAGAATGCGGGATTGAACGTTTTGAAGAATGATCGTCGGTTAGTTGCCAAACGTACGATGTCCAGTCGGAGACAAAGAGAGATCCACACCGGGAATACAAATTTCCCTCTGCTGGTTAAGGATACGGTGGAAAAGGGCGGGAGGGGAAGGAGAACGTGAGGTACGCGTAACGTGCGTAGCTTGCAGCGATTCGAGCACGATCGAAGCCGTGCACGCACGCCTGGTCACGGCCCCTGGTACGCACGCATTTGCATACGCGTAGCAATGCAGGGTGAAAGTACCGATACCGTGTCGCGTTCTACCTCAGGTACAAAACGTTCGATGGACGATTTCTTATCCTTCTCATCAAGTTTAGCAAGTTAGTTGTTGGGAAATTTGGAAAAAGATGATTGTAAGGAGGGACAATTATCATGTATATTTTCTCATCGGCTGTAATAATTATTTTATTGTTAAACGGTAGCTCGAGAATATACGATAGAAAAAAATCATTTTTTCTATTATGCTCTATCGTGTTGACGACAAAAAGATGAGATTCGTAGGATGCGATCTCTTCTGTTTCACCACCTGTATTGCGGTTCGAAAATATGTTTCCACGTTGGATGGAAGTACTAATTTATATTTATCTTCTTTCAGATCGCGGTGTCCGTTGCTCGTGGTGTACATCGAGGAACGCAAAGATGTAGCTCGATCGACCGTCACCGTCGCGTGATCATCAAGAATCGAATACCACCGCGGTAACAGTGGACATACTTATCTATAATTAAACTATATAACGCTGACAGTGCACGCTTATTCTCGCGTTGAATACCAGTTGAGCATCTGAATCTCTACAAGAGCAAACAACGATCTCCTCCTATTTATTCGATGCCCGCTAAAATAATACTCGGCTTTTGAACGTTGGAAAAAGGATCGATCGGATTCGAAAAAAAAAAAAAGAAAGAAAGAGGAGGAATAATAATAAAAAGGAATTGGAGGATGGGGGGACACGCAGAGGGAGCGAGGATCGCGTGGTCAGCGGCGCGACTTCCGTCGTGCCCGTGGAGAACGAGATTCTTAGGCCAGCTGGCCTGAGATATGCCAGCAGCAACAGACTTGGTAATCACGGAACCATCGAGAACGGTGTCATCCTCGTCATCGTCACCCTCGTCCTCATCGTCATCGAGGCTCGGAACGGAAACGGCGAGGTGTTCTGGGGGCGGTATCGGTGGCCGACAGCTGGCGGCAGAGATCGAGACGATCGAGCGCCGGGTCTGCGCGACCCGACGCGACCTCTTCGTACCCGTGACCGTCGATCCTCGGCCCAGTCGGGCCGTCCACTGTCCCGATCTAAACGCCTGTTTGGTGAACGAGTCCCGATCCGGCCGCGACCAGATCGATTGTCAGGCGATCCACTTCGGGTACGCGATCCCCGTGAACGTGGTCCCCCTGGGAAGCGATCCACGGCTCGCCGAGCTCGTCTTGGACCACTCGACCGAGTTGAGCAGACGTGCCGCGAGCTTCTTGCTTGAGCACCATCCTCAGCTGCGTCAGCAGCGGCAGACACAGCGGGAGCGTTGCCCAAGCATGGCGGCAACCGCGAAGCACGATCTGCGACAGAAATTTCCGACGGACACCTCGACGTCCGGTGACGAGGACATCGCGGCGATCGCGAAACAGATCAGCGACCACGCGGAGGCCATCTATCAGACTTGGAAGAGCCGTGGGTTAGCTCCGACCGAGATATTGAACTGTCACAGCAATGCCACGGCAGCGGACAAGTTCGGAACTGCTCTCACGCCGAGTTCCGCGTCGAACACCGCGAACAATACTGGGAAGAGTTCGCCAACGAGCGGTACACCGGCTGTCGATATACTGAGCCAAACGCCGAATCTCGATAACGGAAATTTGGAGAAGCTGGTGAACAATTTCGTGGTGGAGGACAAAGCCAGGTTAGCCGCGTCGAGGCAGAGGTCGCCGTCAAAGACTCTACCCTCGTCGATACAGTTCGCGCTAGAGAAGTTCGAGAAGAACTCGATGCAGCAACAACAGCAACCGCAGACCTCACCGTTGAAGAGCAGTAACGCGGTTGGCGGAGGTCAAGGGAAGGCGAAGCAAGCAACTATTCTGTTGTCCCCGACCTCTCCGTTCACGAACAAACCTTCGCAGATAGTGAAGCCTCAGGTTTCCCCGAAAACTCCCGGCGCGCATCATCGGGAAGTGTTTTTGGAAACTATAGAGACTACTTTTCCCGCGGATATCACCCCTTCGAAGATCGTGGTGCAGCAAAAGAGGCCAACGAGTACGGTGATCGCCTCTCCCAATCTCGACGATTCCTCGACGAATTCAGGTTTGACCACTTGGCCCCTGAAGAACAAGTTGAACGACAATAAGAGAATAACGGATCCTTGTAGATCGCCTCAACAGGAAAGCAAATCGTTGCCGAACAAGGAGGAACAAAAGAGGAACAGCGGTTCTAATTCGAGCGCGTACCTGGACGAGGTTGCACGCGAGGAGGAAAGACTGATAAACGCTTTGAAGACGGGGTCGGTGATCAGTGAGGAGCCCGTGGAGAGGACGGTGCCTTTGACTCGTCAGAAACCCGCGATCAAGAGGGAGAAACCGAAGGTGGAGCCCGTTAAACCGATAATCATCGGTCACAATCATCATGGAAGCGGCCTGGTCCCCACTTCCGCCACTATGGTGAACAACGTGACGTCCACGACACCGGGAAGCAACGCTGGTGCAACGTCGGACGCGAAATCTCTGAGCAAGGATGATCTGTCCAACATGTCGGTGGTGGATTACGCGAAAGTCAGATACAGAGCGGCTCAGCAAAATCCTCCGACTCAACAGAGGTTGGAGGAGCAGAGGACGAACAACAACAACAGTTTCAATTCTACGGAGCAGTTAGTGTCGACCACGAGGTCTAAATTCGAGACGGAGATACAGAAGGACAAGGAAGCGAATAAAGAGGAGAAGGATCCTGTCACGTCTAGATGGGGGCCTAGAATCAATTCACCCAGGCCAAGAATCGAACAAGTACCTCATCCGGAATTGACCACGCAACAGAAGCAGCATATTAGAGCTGCAGCCGCAACTGGAACCGGGAACAATCCTATCAGACCGTTTTTAACCAGGGGATCCGTCGCTGAACGCGTATTGATCTTCGAGAAGTGCCCGAGCGAGCTTTTGCTCGACAAACGAGGGCCACGACAACCGGCCATCAACACTTGGAGAACCGGACACGAAGTTCAAAACAAGGCTCAGGTAAATCGACGCTTACCACGACCCACAATTATCGTTTCATTCTTAACTTTTGTCTTACATTTTCGAATACTTAACGTTAGAGAGATGTTTTTCGCTACACAAAAAAAAAAAAAGAAAAAAGAGAAAATACAAAATCGATCCACGGATACGGAAGCGGAGGAAGATTTAGAAGAGGTCCGTTTAAAAAATCGAGAAGAGTTCGAAAATTTTACAAGATCGTGCAATTATATATTGATTTACACGTGGATGCATAAAGAAAATCCTGCGAAAGACGAGCCACGTTTTCCTGGAAGAGATGCCTAATTCGGCCGGACGAGACTGTCGAGACCTCGAAGAGCTTGCACGACGATCGGGAAGACGTGTCTTCTCTCGTATGTTCTCGCCACTCTGGGTGGCTTATATCGGGCGTTTTGGTCGGCGTCCAAATTCCTCCTTCTCTGGGAGGATGTTCGACCGGTCGACTCCTGCACTTTTGTCTCGAAACGAGTTCAAGATCTCTTCGCGTAGAGGTCGTTTCTGCATGCCTTTATCCGCGAGCTCCTCTTCTTCTATTCTTCTTCGTTATCGAAGCTTGTGCAGTTTGCACTTTGTATTTTTTTTTTTTTTTCATTTCTGAACCCGTTTACACGATGTCAATGAATCGAAACATACGTGAAATTATGCTGTAAAGATATAAAGTTGAGGTATCAAAGACCTCGCGATTATCAACATCATCACATTATTACTTTTACACGATTCCTCTAAAATAAATATCTTTCTTATTATCGAAACAATGTCTTCTCGGAAGACGCGTCATTCGAAAGTTAGTAAGAAACGCGAATTTAAATCGATCGAACGATTAAGAAAGAATAGTTCTCGGGAGTTACAAAGCTGGTCTGGATCAGGGCCAGAAAAAGGAGGATTATACCTGGCACGGTTGCCTGCCAAAAATTGTTATCGCCCTGGCTTTTCCTAGTCGAACATAGGTATAATTGTTTCGAGCGTGTCCATCGATCGTCCCGATCCTTTAATCTCTCCGGTAATTCTCATCGACCATTTTTTCCCCCCCTTTCTCCTAATTTAATTTAATCTCTCGATAACAAATCACCGATCTTAATCTAAACGAATTCCCTTTCGGTAATCAATCTTGATCTATATACCGTTGATAGGCCACGGGTTCTCCAATATGGCGGTGCTGAGCGGTGGAACAATGCACGTGGCCCGAGGGGCTTGGCTATTCCATTGTTATTTAAACGGTTATTACGTTCTCACTCTGCTCTGATATCAACCTTGGATTCGCTCAAAGACATTCCTTCCCATCTATTTAGAAAATGAAATTGGTTTTTCGAGATTAACTCGAGATAATTATCGAGCCGATTCCTAGAAAGTTGATACCAATCTCTCGCCCGATTCGGTTGCAACGAACGATACGGACGAATGGAAACAATAAGATTCCTCGAATTCCAGCGTGCGTGGAATAAGTGAGAAACACGTAGATATTTATGGATGCAACGGGTAGCGGAGAGGCTGTAGCGATTTCTGACTCTGCACTCGCGCGGTGCATCGTCAATACGCGTAAGGGAACGTTCAACGAAATTCGTCTGTTTGGAAAAGAAAGGAAGAAAAAAAGAAGAAGGAGAAAAAAGCAACTAACGTGAAAACCGACGTAGATCCAGAAATCGATGGCGTTTGTTGACCAACGTCAGATTATTTTCTTATCCTTGCCACTGCACGCGAGTCCCTCTCGGCGAACCGCTCTGTTCCCATCAATTTTAATCGTTGAAAGAGAGGGCGAGAGAAAAATGGACAAGATCTGGAAGGAGAGAAGGCGCGGAGGAGAGGGCTCGATTAATTTAATCGACGTGGAGTAGAAACGCGGCGTGTCTCGTTTGTTTGGTCGCAGCTGAGTCATGTGCTCGGTTTTCGTTACGATTAAATGTTATTCGACCTCGAGGAGAGAAATAAAGTGGACCACCATGGCCATAAGTGGAAATGGCCAAGCTCCCGGGGCCAGCTTATCGTCGTTGGTTAAATAATACTCGAGGCTCGTGATATTACGCGTCGGTGTTGTTTATTCGTTCAGGGTGGTCCATGCCCCGTGCGTTTTGGTGATTAGCGAGCTAACGACGGTATTTCGGGGATATAGTTGCCGTAGAATTGCCGTGATTTCGTTCGTGAGGGATACGGGTTGAGAAGAACGGATCGAGACGTCGATCGTGCGGTCAGGCAACGTTCCAGGTATAATTAAAAAATTCTTATTGGAAAAGACGCGCGCGGTGTTGCGTCTATATATCCACGTATGGAAAAACGCGAAGAGACACGGGCGTGAGATCTCGAGGTGGCGGAATGGCGAGAGGAAAATAGGAAAAAAAGTTCGAACGGCGAGAAATCGAATATCTGCGACTGACTCATTGTGCCAGCTCCTTATTGGATATGAGCGCTAGATTTTAAAAGGCCGTCGACAGTCGCCTTGAAGCCGAGTGTAACGCCGCTTATGGCTGAAAAGCGGTCCCCCGGCCAGGAAAGTTAATCCGCGACCGGCTACGTAAGAGTCGTTAGAATAATAGGAACCAGGAAGGAAACGATCTAGTATTCGATGTTCTTGAACGATGTACAGGTATCGAGTTTAAAATTCAAATATTCAAGTTCGAAAAGTTCAAACGTAAATATTTACATTTAAATTTAAATATTCATGGAGTTTTTTTCCCCCCGTATAAATATTCATGAATATTTTTTTTTTCCGCATATTTTAAACGTTAAAAGCGTAAAACAAACTATTGTGCGTATTACTCCAGAGGTCTCGATGGATCCAATCGATGAATTAGATTCGCTTTCTGCCGCATCTCCACGCTTCCCTTCAACCCCCGCAAGAACATTGAATCGGGTGCTCGACGAAATGCCACTTCCATCACGGGTCCAATTAATTTAAAATATGTTTACGGAATTTAGCGTCCCCCTTCGAATGAACGGAGCTACCACGAAGGTAGTTTTCAAAGTGGAAAATAAAATTGAATGAAAATACCGAAGGTTCGATCGAACGGCGGGGTCGAAGGTCAAGTATTTGGTATCGGAACGGTCCTTGGCCGGTTGGCAGAGCTCGAAGGGCTCGATCGAGAGGCGCAGTCGAATTCGCTATGTCGATTGGAACGTTCGTTGATTGACGGTATCCCGCGTGTCACGCAGTGGACCGTGCCAAACACGAGGCCGTAATAATTGTTTCGATCATTTTGCCTAATCTATCCCAATGTCACGGGAGGTAAACGTGATCTGTTCCGGCATTTCACGACGATTCGCACCTTGATGATCGCAAACCTACTCGATTCGTACGTGTATACGCGTATATCGTAGCAATTGTTAGCTCTTTTCTTCCTATTTTACTTTTTTCTCTCGTTAAATTTCATCGAGCAATCGTATTTTTCACGTTAGATTTATTCGAGCCGAGGATATCGACGATTATCGTTTGGTTATTCGAGTGGACGTTGTCTTATTTTTACCGCGCTGAACGGCATGCATTATCGATCTTTTCTTAAACGGATTTCATCGAAGAAGCTCTACCGCTCTATTTTTATTACCTACAGTATTTTTTTTCTCTCGTCTATTATTACCGTTGCTGTCGTTAGCCTTTCCCTTATTTCTGGCGATCATTGACACCTTTTCTTCCCGATTTCTTCGTGGTTAAATAAAAAAAAAAAAAAATAACGACGCTTTTACAAATTTTCTTCGTTCTTCCTTCGTTGAAGAAAAAGAAAAAGATGGATCGTTGAACACTCAGCACGTGGAAACATCCTCTCCTCGTCCCGTGACCATGATGTTGGAAACAACAACGCGTAGAAGTGGCTCGTGATGTAATCATAGTCACATGGGCGAGGCGATGCATTAGCCGCGTTGGCCGACCTCTTTGCATTCTTCGGATCCTTGGCGTCGCGTAACAGGATGTCGCGTCCTTGGTGCGCCAATACCTTCGCTTCGAACCGAACGGTGCTTTCGAAGAAGCGTAAAATTATTCCTATACTGCTCGTCGAGGCGATCGATTAGCCACCTTTGAGAACCTCATCGATCTCTCGTAACCGGAAGCACGAACAATATAATGAGATCAGGATCGTGGCTCGCCGGTGTCCTTTGTTTGTAACGCGATAAAACGAACTTATGTAACGAGAGGAATTAAACACAGAGGAAATAAATAAAACTTTTCCTCCGCAACACCTTCCAAGAATTTATTTTTACGAGTATTTCTGTTTACCATAATTATAACTTGTATAAATTGCAATTTCGTTCGCGGATAATTAATTATCATGCCCGACTCGAGTGGTGCAAAATTGCAAGCACACAGTACGTTTCCCACGAAATCAGTACCCGTTGGACGGAGAAACGATTCGTGGTTGCGATTTTGCCATTTTTGCCACGGATCCAATCAGTTTCCCTGGAACGATGCTTGTTGGTTCTAGACGTACGCGAAAGACAAGACACAGCAAAAGAGCTTGCCACCGCACACGACACTCCAGAGGCACGTGAAAGCGAACAGAAACGTTCACATACCACGGTAAACGTTGATCCAAACCGTATACGATACAACACTGTTCGATTGATCGAGCAAACGAGCGATAAACGCGAAATATCTATCGGTCCATTTGCAGATTTTACTTTCCCGGAGGAAAACCTTTGCCGTTATCGCAAGTGGAGGCAACCATCGCGAGGATCACCGCTGCTTTTCAAGCTCTTCCCGGCCATCGTGCGTCTCGAGCCCAATTTCACGCTATAACGAAGGTACAAATATATTTTTTTCCTCCAAGATTGGCAATGGTGGTCCAAGATTTGATCTTGACCGTTCGATTATTCTCTCGCGTGGGCAACGGTTTCACGTGGGAAACTCGTAACTTTAACTCGTTTCCATTCGTTGGTGGGACACATAGCTGTAATATACAAAGGCGTATGATTTGTCTTGCAGGCATGCGACTTGCCGCTCTATTGGAAAGTGCCGCTTTTCCTCGCGGCTGGCGGAGATCAGACCGGCTACGTTGAGATGAACGCGTTCCTTGATTTTTGGAAAGAAGAGTAAGCAAAGAAAAGCTTGTAACTTCGAATTCTTCGAATTCGCGTTCTTTCTCTTCGATTGTTCGTACGCGAATAAATCAGGATATTCGAGCAGCGGACGTTCTAATTTTAATTCTCAATTTCTTCTTTATTTCTTCCATTATAGTTTAACGATTATATTGTGGGGTTGACTGTTTGCAGAATATCGAACACCCACCACGACGCGGCGAGCAAGTTTATTCGAATCACAACCCGGGGCCAGAGGAACAATATACTGCCGGAGGATTTGATCCCCCTGGTGCAAGACGTAGTCGAGACCCATCCCGGTTTAACTTTTCTCAAAGAGGCTACTGAGTTCCATTCACGCTACGTACACACGGTTCGTATTCGCGCGATAAATATTTGCTGGATATTTCTCTCGTTTTCAAGACAAGGATAGAGAGGGAGAGAGAGAGAGAGAGAGAGAGAAAAAGAAAAAAGATTCCACAGAGAATGGACCATACGATTTACGCAAGACGTGAATCGTCTTGAATTATTCATCGCGATCGTGCTCGCCTCGAGCAATTATCTTCTCGCTCGTTGGAAAATCATCTTAACGAATCGACGAGTATTTTATCATTTTTACGATTGGATATTGACCACTTATTAACAGTGGAATTCTTCCGTTCTTTTTCTCAGCTAAACTGGCTTCTGTATTTACACGAATTGTAGATTTGTACATTCAATATTGAGGAAACGGTTAACACGATGAAGTGTTATATTTAAAGTTCTTGGTTGATCGATCTTTTGATATATCTTCGTTTTGTCCAGGTGATCGCTAGGATATTTTACTGCGTGAATCGAAGCTGGAGCGGAAGAATTTCCGTGGCCGAGTTGCGGAGAAGCAATCTGCTCTCGGTGATCGCGATCCTCGAGCACGAGGAAGACATCAATCAAGTAACAGCTTACTTCAGCTATGAGCATTTCTATGTGATCTACTGCAAGTTCTGGGAGCTCGATCGCGATCACGATCTCTTCATCGACAAGACAGATCTCACAAAGCATAACGATCACGGTAAGAAACAAACACTTAGCTTAATATTCTCTGTAAATTTCGTTTACCAGGGAATTCATTTTCAACTCGAGTTGTGTTCTTAGCTCTTTCCAAACGTATGATCGCGAGAATATTCAGCGGCGCAGTGACCAGGGGTGGCGTGAAAAGCGGAAACGGCGTTCAACAGTCCCAGGATAAAATGAGTTACACGGAATTTGTCTGGTTCTTGTTAAGCGAGGAGGATAAAAATCACCCGACCGCTATTGAATATTGGTTCAGGTATAATGTGTCTAAGATTACATATATCGGGTGGACAATTACGTATGTTTCATTTCGGATGATCAATATATAGGTGCATGGATCTCGATGGTGATGGATATTTGTCGATGTACGAATTGGAATATTTTTACGAAGAGCAATTGCATCGTATGGAGGCGATTGGATTGGAAACGTTGCCTTTCGAGGATTGCCTTTGTCAGGCAAGTCGAGTTAGAAATTAAATATTTATATATTCATTCTATTGTTTCCTCTATTTTATAAGTATGTTTTCACATGACTTTGTATAGATGTTAGATATGATCAAACCGGAAAAATCAGGAAAAATATCTCTAAGCGACTTGAAAAAGTGTAAAATGACCTCAATCTTCTTTGACACGTTCTTCAACCTCGAAAAGTACCTGGATCACGAGCAGAGAGATCCCTTCGCATCTGCCAGAGAACATGACCCTGATGGTCACGAGGTAAAGAGCTTTAGAAATTATCAGAAACAAGTAAATTCAATTTAGCAGGAAGAACAGTTGTTGTTAGTTGAGTATTTTACTGATATCCGTTATCGTTTACGTTTTTTTTTTTTTTTTTTTTATTTCATTTGTAACAGCTGTCAGATTGGGACCGATTCGCAGCAGAGGAGTACGAATTGTTGGTCACCGAAGAGAGTGGTAACGAGCAAAACGAGCAAATGTAAGTATTGATTTCACGCAATTTATATTGCACATGGTTCATGCCATATAATCAGTATATGAATATTGTTCTCACTATCACTTATTAACGTTGATATATATGTCACGCATCAATGTATTAATCATTGTTTAATACTTAGTAAATCGAGATAAAATATTTATTTTATATACAATCAATCGGGGATTACTTTTGAAAAATAAGGATAAGAAAATTAAAAAATATTGGATATTATTATGCAAAACAATTATAGATGAATTCGTTTTATTTCGAAAGAAAGAAAGTTCTATTTCGCTATTTCGAGATATGAAACGGAAGTTATAGCTTTCGAATTGCGGCATGCGTTGTCATTAGATAGACAGTATGCCCCGCTGATCTAACAATTTCACCTTGTACTATGACCGTAATGGTACGATCTATGCGTTTTGTTGCAGGCTGTGTGATGATGAAATGTAACCATCATCTACAGCTCAGTAAGTAAATGAAACCAGAATTGCATGATATAGTTATGCACGATGCCCGTGTATGCATAATTTATTAATTAGAAAGTCGGCTAACTGCTTGTTTTTTTGTTCCATCTTCTTTTTTTTTTTTTATTTTATTTTTCGTGTCGTCAACATATCATTTAAATTTTAAATTGCTCAAGTTGATCGTTAAAAATTATAAATTTTTACTATGACAAGTCGCTGCTCGAAAAAAAAAAAAACATTCATAAACACAAAATGCTCCTTATATATTTATAAACCAACAGCAAGAATTGAAGTTTTTAATTTCAAATATTCGGAATTTTTTTTAAATTTATTGCTTTTTAGGATTATTGTTTTCGCTTTTACTAAAATATGATCATAATTTGCATCGTTTTTAATCAACTAATTGAATCTTACGTTATATTGTAGAATATTGTAGACCCTCTATTGTGGACCCTCTATAATTTACATATCATTTTTGATCTATGAAAAATAAAAATTTTATTTAACGCAAAAAGAAAAAAATATATATATTTTTTTCCTCAGGCCAAACGATTCCATATCGGAGGATGCGTTTTCTCCAAACTTGGAGATCCTGGATGGTGAATCCGTGGACATGGTTCAAGGCACAGATATCCAGTTTAAAGGATATTCTGATGATATATCTACAATTAATCCATTGGACTCTATTCACCAGCAATCGAAGAACCAATATTATGACAATGGTGATAGCGACGATTATGCTGAGAGTGATAATTGAATAAGGGAAAGTTGAACGTTATTCGGAAAGAGAAAGCAAAGAAAGAGGGAAATTATCTCTAGACGGAATTTAGTAGTTTAAACGCGTAGTTGTTTTCTATATAGTAAGAGTGTCGTGTAATCTTTTTGTGAACAGTCGTATATTATGATAAAATAATTCTCGGCGAATTATTCAATACGAATCCATTCGGTGATTTAGTCTGAGTAACTTCTTTAAAATACAAAAACATTCAAGAATAATTGATTTTAATATTCTATCTTATATTTAGAATTTATTACTTCAAAAAGATACCGATGAAATAAAACTTTGGATGTTTTTTTTAAATATTAAACAATTTTTAATTGTTTGAGTTAAAAAAAAAAAAATAACAAAAGGAAAGTATCATACGATCCTCTTTGAGGCAAAGAAGCTTTGATATCACCGAATCGATCCGTAGCTATGAATAATAGTCGAGAAGAAGATTCAGGCCACGGCACGACGATGTGTGATAAGCAAGCGTCATTGTTCAATCTCTCTATGATATACATGATATTGTGTACTTCACATTGTAAATAGACAGTAAATCACGAATCCTTATTTTTACTTAATGCGAGAAAATCACTTGAAAAAAATGCGAGTCTTTCAATTGCTGCAGCCATTTATAAGAAAATCGATTAAAAATAGTTCTAGAAATTAAAAAAAAATTCAATCATCAGTTTAATTATTTTGACAAATTATTTTCTTTTAATTCAAAAGAAGTTTATTTTTTAGTACTAAAAAAAAAAAAGAAAAAAAAAAAGAAAGAAAGAAAGAAAAGAAAAAGAAAAAATTAAATTGTTTGTAAGAACACGTTTCTCTAAAAGAAAATTTCGAGGCTGCAACAAATGGAAATTGCGTGTCAAAAGGTTCATAATCGTTGGATTTGCGAGTAAGGGGTGTTATTACCCTATGTAATCATCTTGTAAGTCATAGTGTTACACTGTACGCAAAATATTGCACGCAAGAAACATTCAAAGGATCGAGTGAGATTGTATCAGTAAAGTATTCTTCTAATTCGATCCGTTATAAAATCCATAAAGTGGGGTGTATCCTGTTTTTCGAACATTGCAGACTATGATCTATGATTGCTGTTTCTTTTCCACGTGTTTGCAGGTAATTTCTTACTTCAAATGATGAAAACAAGCCAAAGATGAGACGTGTTCCATTATCTTCGACACGAAGGTACAAAGGAAAATGAAGAAACAAAGAAACTGTGAACGCAGATGCTGCTATGAAATGATGAAACGTCGTCCTTTCCAACTAAGTGACATTTGTTTCGAGATTCAAAGGGATTTTGTGAAATTTCCCTTTAAGTGTTGGACGAGTGGACATAATTTTTTATAAGTTAAGCTTTATAGTGTTCTCCTCAAAATGATGCATTCTGAATATCATTGTTTTTCTTCTTCCTTCTTTTTTTTTTTCTTTTTAATTACTTTGATCGAGATTTTACGTAATTTTTAACTTGTTATTAAGAAATTATGGTTTAAAGTATGTAAATCTCCGATGATAAATGCAAGGAGATTCTATTTTTAGATTCCTTTTTGTTGGGAAAACACCATGAAGAACGTATGCGTTTCTAGACGATTATTGAAGAGCGTGTGGTGAGATTTTGTTGAAAGTGTCTACTGCCACAGCAAAGGACTCTTAAAACGCGGTTCGACTTAATCTAAGTTACAACATTGAAGATCAGAAGTTGTACCCTCTTATTTTTAATCATCTCTTACATACGTTTTAATTGTTACTGTTATATTAATTGCTCATCAGATTTTATTTCTGCGTGAATTCTACGACTTGTTGTTTCATTAAATAATAATTATACGACTGGTATATTGTTATTTTTAATTGATAAAAATGAAAGTACTCCGAGAAGTATAGGGTACAATTGATTTACGAGAATCCGCTTGAGCCGCCAAGACTGCTGGAATGTATATATTAATTTTGTCTTCGAGATTTATTTTAACGACGTATATATATAAAATAATATACTCTAGTCGAAATGTGTGCTATAATTCACATAATGAAGACCACGTGTGAGATGGCGAGTTAATTTTAGATCTATTTCGTGTTATTTGTTAATTAAACAGTGTTAAATTGCAAACAATGTAAATTGCATTGGTGAAAAATTCTTTGTCGTAAAGGATATTTAATCCTGGACCATACTACAAATAATCACTTTCAATATTAAGCTTGGAGAAATTCTAGAGAATTTACCAAAATAAATTCATAAATAATTCAATGATAATAAATACATATCGAAAATCGCATGGAATGATTGAATGTTCTATACTTAAATATTTGCATTAAAAGAGATAATGCTGAGATCGATATTTTTAAAATATAGTTAAATTATTCTTATTGATGTTAATATCGTATTTGTTCAGTTGATTATTAATAATTAGCTGTTTTTGAGAACCGCTTTTTAAACTGTCTAATCAAAAATTCGTATTTATCATGTTTCAATATTATAAAATATTGTTCCTTTACGTCGATGAATTTTCACGATTAGCAAAAAGAAATGAATAAAATGATAATGAAATAGTTATTCGATAGGAAAATCTGTTGCAAAATCGAATTCGTGAATTTCGTCGCAATATTTTTTAAGGATAAATAACCTTTTATTTGGTAATTTACCTATTAAGTTAATATCATTCGATATTTTATCATTAAAAAAGACAGGTTATTTTTAATGAAAAAGAAGATTCAAAACTTTCAATTGTATTTTTAAGAATGCAAATAAATTCAAGAAATGATTATAAATAAAACTCTCCAAATGAAAGGTTGATGTTTAAAGTTATTTAATTTAATTAATTTTTAATAGAGCTTTCCAAATAAAAGATTGATGTTTAAAGTTATTTAATTTCTCCATTGCGTTATCGCATTAAGAGAATGGTTTTTTTGCGAATGATCGCTTTTGTTGACTGTCCAAAGATGTAACTATTAACACTTACAATATATATCTTTTATATAGCTTATAATTTTTTTAATATATATATATACATATATGTATATGTATGTATATGTGCATATCACTTGGTAAAATTTCGTTGTGACAATGTAATGCGCATCGAATTTCTATTGAATGAAAATTAGACGAGAGAGACGTCTGATTATGTTATTCGTCATTGCATTTGGCCATGTTTTCGATTGTTATATTTATGATAGGTTTATCACTGTTCTAGAAATCTGTTACGTGATTTCTTAAATCGAGCGCCGTCTCTCCATGATTTCGTATTTTTTTCGAAGAAAGAAAAAGGAACGGTTATTATATATCCTTTTTTTTCATGAAAAAATCGAATTTATGGTTTAATTTCGCAAACGCGAGCTTAGACAGTCTCGATAATTAGACTCACGTTACTATTTACCCTATATTTTTATTTATATATTTTATCTGTGCATGAGTAGACAATTAAGGTAATTTTGCAAGTTAATAAAAATGAATGGTAAAAACTATCTTGAATAGAGTTTTTATTTTCTTCCTTTTTTAATAACATTTTTTACTCAAATTATCCAATCGAAGAATATAAATTATTATATTTATAAATTATACGGTATAACTTTTGTCATAAATAAAATAGAAGCACTGATATATAAATTCATATAAAAATATTTATATACATGTAAAATAATATATTATCCATGATGTATGAATATGTACATAAAATATATACGTGATATTTAAATATAAAAAAAGTGAATATATATTAAATGTATATAGATACGATATATAAAAATTGGATTCAATAGACTTTGTTAATTTTTAATTTTTAATCAATAGATTAACCAATAATCAGATATCAGTATTAATTCTTGAATATAGAAATTGCAGAGCAAGTATAGACAAGGAGAATAAATATTAAGAGAAGGATGGAGATAGTGTAAAAATATGAAAATCAGCGCCATCTCTAGAGTGCCGCAAATTAAACACAATATAAACAAGGAAAACAAATATTTAGAAAAAGATAAAAGATTAGTACTTAACCTGTAGCGCCATCTCTTCGAAAAGTGCTCAAACTTGTCGTACATTGTTACTGATAATAAAGTAAACTTCTTATTAGCCTTTGATTAGTGGCGCCATCTCTTTAAAAAACTTTGAACTTTTTAGAGATGTACCAATAATAAAAATTCAAAAATTTTTTAAGAGATGGCGCCATTAGTTTATTTTTGCTGTCGATAACAATATGACAAGTTTGAACATTTTTCGAAAAGATGGCACTAGTGGCTAAATACTAATCTCTCTATCCTTTTTTAATATTTTCTTTCTTCGTTTAATTTGTGTTTAATCTGCGGCACTCTAGAGATGGCGCTGATTTCCATATTTTTACTCTATCTCTGTCCTTCTCTATTCTTTGTGTTTCCATATATCATATACGAATTGTATATATATATATATATTTTATTTTCATATGCATTTTTTATATACATTTATTTTATACAGAATATCTCATTTAATATTATAACGTACATCAAAATGATAATATCAGCGCAGATACTGTATTTTTTTCAATCTTCTAGAATTAAAAAATAACAATTATGATTTAATTTTAAAATATAAAATAATTTTCGCGTTATTGAATTTCAACAATTAAATAAACTTTAATTATTTAAAATTGCATATCAAAATCTATAAAATCATATAAAAAGATATTCAATTTTAATGCTCTTTTCTAAATTTTAAAATTCAACTTAATTATATTGTATTACAATTGTGCTTCTATTTTATTTATGACAAAAGTTATATTGTAAAATATATATATAAAAAAGTATATACATTCTATGATTGGATAGAAAAAATGTTATTAAAAACGAATTCTAAATTACCAGGTGAATTAAAATATTCTTTTGATATCATATTTATTTATATATTAATTATCATTAATATTTCTATTATTACAGAAGTTTCATCATTATTTTCTTTAATTATAATTGCTGTATTATCTCTATGTTTTATTAATAGTTACAATGGTAAATTTGTATTTGATGATTCTGAAGCTATTGTACATAATGAAGATATACAAACTACTCCTTTAGTAGATATATTTAAAAATGATTTTTGGGGTACAAAACTGACCCATAAGCAAAGTCATAAATCATATAGACCACTTACAATTTTATCTTTTAGGTATATTTCTTTTTTTTTAAATAGAAAAAATATATGTTTAAATATCCTTTTCCTTTTAAACAAATTGTTTATAGATTGCATTTTTGGCTTCGTGAAAGTATGATAGCTCAAGATTTTCATATAGTAAATATAATACTTCATGCTATTGTTTCCATGTTATTGTTACCAGTATTTAATATACTTTTAGACTCGAAAGAAAAAAGAACTGCA